TGTCCAGTTGCAGAGGGGAATGAGAGAGCAGCTGTAGTGGGTACCTGGCATCCAGCCAGGGTCAACTCAACTACAACGCTATGGAAGTGGCCTTGCCAAAACTTGTGCCTGAGGTTGGCTGATGTGTTGTGCATTGCTGGCTCCTGCCAGCGGGTTCCTCAGTCATATGGGAAGAGGGCAGTGGAAGTGGTGCAGGCCAGGAAGAGGAACTGTTTAGCTAAAGTCTCTTTATTTTGCCATTTGCAGTGCAGTGGGATGACATAGTAACACGTAGGGAGGTGTGATGCCTCTCAGCTCTTTCCAGTGATCCTGTTTCAAAAGAAATGCATTTCCAAAATACCTTGTTGCCTATTAGGGTTTCTCATATGACTCATGGATTCACTTTCCAATCTTTTGCTGTTTTCTTTTGTGTTCTTTTCCAACTATCCAGGACGCACAGTGTAATTTTTTTCTTTTTCTTTTTTTTTTTTTTTTAATAGTTCTGAGGTGCTGTTAAGATTTAAGATGTGCAAAATTGTGACAGGACAAGGGGCAATGGTTCAAACTGAAAAAGGTAGATTTAGTGGCTTTAGATTGCATGTGAGGAAGAAATTTTTTATGCTGGGGGTGGTGAGGCACTGAAACAGCTTGCCTAGAGAAATTGTGGATATCCCACTACTGGAAATGTTCAGGGGCTTTGTGCAGCCTGGTCTAGGGGAAGGTGATCTAGGGGCAGATGATCTTTGAAGGTCCCTCCCAAACAGTTCTATGATGCTATGCAATGCTGTGCAGTTTGAATGCTAAGCATTCACGCTCAGGCAACTAGAGGTACGTGCTGTCACACTAGTGATTTGGAGGGTTGACCCTAGGAGAGAGCAAGAGGCTTTTTGACCAGTGAGTTGCTTTCAGGTTTTTTTGAGTAAGTTTTTAGTAAATCAGAGATGACTATTTCCACTGCAGCAGTTATGTACGGTCTAGGGGGTTTTGGCGGTTTTAGTGCTGAACAAAACATTTTCTCCTTTCACAATTTTGGATGTAGTTGCCCCAACAAAGACAATGATTAAAGGTCTAATAAAGCTGTTGCCACCCCAGTGTGTAGACTGCATGTATTGATCTTTTGTGTGTTTGCATCGGATATGCTTGTCAGTTCATATGTAGAGGACATTATTCTTTTTGTTGTTCAGTGGTACAATAAATCCAATTTTTTGGGCTTGATGTTACTTGACTGAAAGAGCATTTTTTAAGGATTATGAAGTAGTTGTATGGTGTGCATTTCTATAAATGCATTACACAAAGTGCTGCTCTGGTGTAACCCCTGTTGGGTCAAGTTGACCAAATTTTTTCCCCACTACTTAAGTTAACTTCCTGCAAGAGGGCTTTCTGGTGAATGAGTACGGTGTCTGAGTGCCAGGTGCCCACCAAAGCTGCTCTATCACTCCACTACTCAGATGGGCAGGGGAGAGAAAATATAATGAAAGGCTCCTGGGTCGACATAAGGAGAGATTGAGATCAGTTACCAATTACCATCATGGGCCAGACAGACTTGCCTTGGGGAAATTAGTTTAATTTATCAAATCAGACAATGATAATGAGAAATAAAATAAAATCTTAAAACCACTTTCCCCCCAGTCCTTCCTTTATTCCTGAGCTCAACTTCACTCCTGATTTTCTTTACCTTCTCCTCCCTGAGCAGCACAGAGGGACAGGGAATGGGAGTTGTAGTCAGTTCATCACATGTTGTCTCTTTTGCTCCTTGTTACTCAGAGGTAGGATTCCTCACACTTTTCCTCTGCTCCAGCATGGGGTCTTCCTCCCACAGGAGACAGCCCTCCAGTGTGGATCCTTCCTGGGGGCTGGAGTACTTCAGGATCTCCAGTGTGGGTCCCTTACATGGGGTGCAGTCCTTCAGAAACAGGCTGCTCCAGCGTGAGTCCCCCATGGGTCACAAATTCTGCCAGCAAACCACATGGGACTCCTCTCTCCGTGGGTTTGCAGCTCCTGACAGGAGCCTGCCCTGGCATGGTCCTCCTTTGTGCATCAACCTGCTCTAAAATGGGGTCCTTCATGGTCTGCAGGTGGATCTCTGCTCCACCATGGACCTCCATGGGCTGCAGGAGGACAGCCTGCCTCACCATGGTCTTCACTACGGACTCCAGGAAAATCTCTGCTCCAGTGCCTGGAGTGCCTCCTTCCTCTTCTCCTTCCCTCACTTTGCTGTCTGCAGGGCTATTTCTCTCACTTATTCTCACTCCTCTCTCCAGCTGCAGTTGTGCACTTTCCCCTCAACTCCTTTTTGGCTATGTTATCCCAGAAGTGCTGCCATTGTTGCTCATGGGCTCAGCTTTGGCCAATAGTGGATCCATCCTGGAGTCGGCTGGCATTGGCTGGAATGGACATGGGGGAAGCTTCTGGCAGCTTCTCACGGAAGCACCCCTGTAGCTCCCCTGCTACCAAAACTTCTCCATGCAAATCCAGTGCAATGGGCTAAAGCCTGTTTGTGCCATTCTAACTAGATGATCCTGGATCGTGTGTCATTTATCCCCCCACAGCCCCTTAGCAAGGTCTGTGGCCCCTTTGACAGAAATGGCATCAGGTGTCTCTCCACCTCAGTGGTCTAGCAATGCAGGCATCTCCATGGTAATTATGATCACAGTAGCACAGCCCGAGATACGCACATCGGGCATTACTGTTAATAATCCACTAGCAGTATCATCCACCTTACCTAAGGGTCTTCTGTGTTACCAAGGGGTGAGAAGATAATTATTCTCGAAGTCACAGCTAAGAAAGGAAAAAGTTTTCTTACTGGATGTATTAAGTATCAGCAGGCTTTTTACAGTGGGAGTGTACGGGTGGGGAGAGATTTTAAACTTGCTCAAAACTCCAAGTGAACTCAAAACCATCACTAACTAGGGCATTGGACAGCATCTCTGACCACACAGGAAGGTAAGTGCCTGTAGCTTATCAGGAGGATTAAGAAAGGAAAGCAGCCTCTTTTTCCATCTCATCTCCAAATAAATAGATTGGCTAGCTTTTGTCTCTGCCACTTGTGGCTTTATAAAGCTTTGCATCAGTACTGTCTGCTCCAGATGCACACTTTCAGCTGTATGCTCAGGACCTTGTTCGAGTGCAAATTTGGGAGCTTCCCATTATTGGGGTTGTGCTTGTAACAGGAGTTCTGGAGGACACATGCAGAAGATAAGCACTGACACATTTATCCAGGATATCCAAGAGGCAACTCAGTACATTGAAAATGAGTTGCACAGAATAGGTATCCCCACTGGAGAGGAAGGCAGTGAACTACAGTCTATGATGGGAAGCTTCAAGAGCTGCTTTGGTTTTTTGTCCATCTGTGCAAATCAGCTTCTCGCAGTGCATGAATCTTGACTACATGGACTTTTGGCCAAGTAAAATGTCCTCAGAGGCAGTTCTCGATACCAAAAAGTTACAAGCACAAGGCTAGCTTGTCTTAGGGTCAGGTGTTGTGTGTAACGTAAATGCCATGCAGTTGGTGACCAGCTATTCATAGTGCAATAAATTTCACTCTTTACCACTTGTAGACTTCCATTAAATATTTAATAAGTGAGGAGGATAAAAGCAGGAGCTATAGGTGCTTCAGGACAGAGAGTATGATGTCACAGAACAACGACAGCACAGTGCTAAGTCGTGCAGCTTCAGTGGAGATTTACATTGCTTGAAACCCCTCGGGAATGTTTTGAGAAGAGAGCTTTCTGGGCTTGGCCCAGAAAAACTTCTTTTAAGAGTGCTTTTATCTAATTTTCAGATAGCCAAACCCCACCTTAGTTATAAGATCGTTTTGTCTTTACCCAAACCTCTTCTGTTCTACCCATCTGTTCACTGTGCTTGGTCCCAGTGGTAAGATAAGCATTTAATCATGCCTACCAGCCTGTTAGCTTTTCGGAAAGCTTTTCTGACCGAGCAGAAATAGGAGAATCACAGAACTAATCACCTGTTTCTGCTGAACTCCCTAAGGAAACTTAATCCCATCTTCCTTTGTTAGATTTTAGGCAGGAAGAAAGGCAATGCTGCATCTGCTTTCCCCCAAGTCCTTGTCTTCTTTTTTCACTCTCACAAATTACTGGGAGAGTGAAATGGTGGTACTTGCAGTACTGCAAAAGGGTTTACCTTCTGCCTTGCAAAGGATTTAGTAACCTTGCTCTCTGCTGGACAGTTAAATCCCAGCATCCAAACGACCAAGTCTATGTGTTGCATTCTGTTGCTTTCTTTCACTTTCAGGCTGACTTCCTCTACCTTCTCTGTTCACGGACACAGACAGAGGGTTAGATGTTTTGCACACGTGCCTGAATTGTCCCTGAAGAGCATTAAGCTAGTAATTTCAGGCACTCACAAAAAGTGTATCCATGACAGCATAGCGTACGCGTTTGCCTACAAAACCCACTCAAGAAGATGGGTAAGTTCTCCGGGCAGTTAAATACTCCTTACCTGAGTGCATTTAGCTATGTTCTACCCGAATTAAAGCCACAGAAGAGGCAACCGATGTGACTCAAGGGCCAGTTACCATGAGCCTTGAAGAAGCAAAATACCTCAGCACTTGCTGGAAACCAATTGTAATTGTAGGAAACTTTCAGCAGTAACAAAAATAGTTCTTTTCTCCTGTTGAAATTTGCTAATGTGCATTTCCAGCTCCTGTCTACAAGAATGGAAAGGAATTTTAGCTAATGAGCAGAAAAGCCTTGCTGCACTTTCCACAAGACATCAAATGTACAGGAGAGGAAAAAGGGTGACACTGTGCTTGGGTCCCAAAGCACAGGGTACACCTATGGACTGTATTTCACACAGCAGCAGCTAATCAAGCCTGGGTTATTGCACCTTGGTGCACAGAGCTCTTTTGAAGAAAGCTGATGAATGCTGGCCACTACTGAGCAGTATATGTGAACTGAACCATCTGGAGGGAAACATTATGTTTCATTTATGGAATTGCAGTCAAATGCTTGAGCAGTTTTTTAATCCACAAATCCTAAACAATGCAAATGCAAAACAAGTATCTCACAGTGTGCTTTTATTATTTTTCACAATATAAACTAGACAGACATGGAAAGTTTAATGGCAGCATGTTCTGATAACATTTGAAAGACAAAGAACAACATAATCGTATTGAATGATGATAAACTGACAAACTACATTACCATACATACATCTCCAAAGATACTGGATAAACAATATCTGCTTATGTACATTTATGCTGGTGATAATTAAAATTCAAATATTCAGAAAAAAAGAAAAAAATATGCTATTTAAATTATAAAAATATACAGTTTTTGTGTGGAACTCTTAATGCTGTATTACTTTTTGAAGATAATTTTGTTGTGTCATGAAGCTGCATTAACTTAGTATAGAAGTGTGATTTAAACCAAATACAGATTAAATTAGCTCTTATTTCTTCCTTGTATTTAGCCTTGATGGAAAGAGAGATAGGGATGAAAAACAAAGCTAGGCTTTTGCAATGAGAAATAATTTTTATATTCATAAATTAAAAGATGTATAAATTTTCATATAGTACTGAACCATAAACTCGTTATACAAATGAATCGTTTTCCTAGTTTGTTCAGAGATAGAGAGGATAAAGAAGAAATGCTTTAAACGTGCTACTTTACTATACTTTTAATCAACAGGACCTCTAGGTTTGTCAAGTGGAATGCAGGTGAACAGCTAAGCAGTGTCGTGCCTCAGGGTCAAAGCATGCAGTCCAGACTCACTGCCTCAGCTGGGGAGACTGTGTGCATGCAAAGATTAGGGGTACTGGATCCGTGTTCTTTGAACTGCATCACCTTCATGTTGCCTTTGCACATCTGGTTTCGGACTATTTTATCATAACTGTTCCTTATAAGTGCAAACCTACTCAGGCTACATAATCCCCAATCACAACAGCAGATGGATGAACTTTTATAGACAGGATAATTTTATAATAATTTTCAAATGATTTTGTAATTGAAAATTTTTAGTAACTGTAGCCCTGTAGTGCACACATTTGTAGCTGCTTTTAGTTATAAATAATTTTCAGACCATCCTGGGTGAACTCCTGCAACATATGAAACTAAAGATTCTCTTACATACCCATGTCATTTGCCATATCTTCCAGCCCCCGTCCTAATCTGTATATTCTCTGTTACCTCAACAGCCCCATTAGTCCTTTGGTGGATCCAGTGCTTGTTCCATTAAGAAATGCACTCTGTGTCAGCTCTGATTTAAGAATGCTTTGCTTGCAGAATATTTTTTCTTGTTTTTCCATCTGTTCCTAAGTTACTGATCTATAACAGATCTTAGGTGATCTTATAGATTATTCTTTTCAGAAGCAAAATATTTTCTTCAGGATTTTCTTAATAAATGGAGTGAAAAAGAATTAAGGACACATAAGCTGAACACAGTAAAATCAAGTATTTCTCCTCAATGGTATGGATTTGCTGTTTTACAAAAGACTCTCTTCAGCATTAACAAAGTTCTGTAGAGACTTGTGGGGCCTCTGTAAGCTTTTTCTCTGCCCTTATATCATCCTTTTTCAATGGAAAGGATAAAAGATAAACTTCCAACTAGCAATCATCTTTAACCAAGGAGGTTTTTCAGTGATCTCTCTGTTTCCCTCCACTTCTTGACCTATTCCTTTGTTGTCCTCTCTGATCTTCCACATCTAACCACTTCAGAAATGTCCCCTTTTCACTTCAGAAATGTCCCCTCCTTTTTTTTTTTTTTTGCTTTTACAATCTGGATGTGCCAGAAGGGGTCAGCTATCTATGCATACATAGTGGCAGAGGATGGATTTTCACTGAAGCATAGTCGTTGAGCATGGAAGTCTATAAGGCATTTTGTGGGGAAAAAAATCTTACATGAAAGTGTAATGAAGAGTAGGAGAGACAAGAATGATTGCAAAAGAAATGCAAGAGTGAAAAGAGAGGATTTTATTTAAGAAGTTCAAGCTTTTATATACATTCAATGTTTCTAATATGTTCCTTAATAAATGTATTATCAACTATCATCATACCTAATGCAGCCACAATACTGTACTATTCTGCAGTCAGGATGGGAAAACTCCATTGGCTCTTTAATAAAATAAAATCATCAACAGTCATCGTGACTCTTCTTTTTGCCAGGTATTAACTGATACACTGGGAAGTCCAGTGAGTAGACACAACAGAACACAGAATCCTCAGTATTTATTTAAATGTGTATCACGTGTCGTCTTCATATTATTTCTAAAGCAGCTTTAAAAAAACTTTAGCCATTGGAAGGTATTAAAAACTAAAACCCATTCAAATTATCCTGGCAGTATAGCAGCACTGGAATTGATACTTTTACTACTTTTGACAATGTAAACCTTTAATAAAATAAACAATATTGAAGCAATTTGAGGTCTAATAGTTAATAAACTTTAATGGGCATATGGGCACAAATCGAAACAAAGACTAGATTGTGAAATGAAACATTAGCTTGATACCAGCCAATTCCAGTTGTGCAATTGGCTGCAGACAAATTCAGCTTGGAAGCTGAAAGAAAAAACAAAGCCCACACTCAATCCACAATATTCAATCCTTCTGATTTCAAATATTTTTCATATAAATCCTACATGAGCATCCCCACTTCTGACAGAAGCACTCTGAAAGCATTGCAGGTACTTTTTGTTTGATGGTCAGATTTTTCCTTTTTCTTTAATCAAGCATAGTTCACATTTTTGTGTTCTTAGAAATATTTCTTTTCTAAGTTTCTATAAAATTAAGTAATTTCAAATTTGAAATGTAAGCTTGCTCCATCTTATCTTTGCTCATACAAAGTGTTGGTGCCATGACTATATAGCAGTAAAAATGCTGAGATGTACAACTCTTAAAAAAAACAACCAAACATAAAAGCAGCTTTGAAGACTCAACATCAACTACAGCCTTAACATTGAACATATTACATTCCCGAGTTACAGGAGATATTTTGCATATAATGCCACAAAGTTATTCAACTGAAATCTTGAGGTTGGAGCTACAGTTTATTCACTGTATGTTTTTCACCTTTTGAGCACTTATGTACCGTATGGTACATTTTATCCAGAGCTTTGCAATCTCTCCTTTTATATCTGGATGTTCATTTACCCAAAAAACCCAGATTTCAAAAGTTTCATACAAAAAAAATAGAAGCGCAGGACTTAAAACATTTGAAGCTGGACATTTCCATGCTTCAGAGCAGCCCCTGGGACACACTTCAGAGTCTTCAGTTTCCAGGGGACTCCTGGCCCCTTTGAGCTCACAGAAAGCCCTGCTTTAAAAGGCATTGACACATCTGGTTTCAGAATACAGGTCTGTTTATAAAACTGTATTATGTACTCTGCATTAATTTTACTTGCGTTGCATTTTTGTAACATGAGCAGATGACTTCACACCTCCCACTCCCCCTTTTCCTTCACCCTATTTTCACTTGAGATGACAGTAGGCACCTGCCTGATCGAGGTGTCAAAGAGTCTCTGTCCAGAAAGAGGATTTTGAGTTTCTTTATTATCTTTTCTTCTGCAGACAGTCTTAGGAAATTATTGGCATGAAATAAATTTGAGGGCGAGGGGTGCGATGAAAAATCTCACTTTCTTTTCCTGTTATGAAAATGAACTTGATTTTGGTGTCCAGTTTGATAAACAAGGATAGTCAGAGCTAATCTGTAACTTAGCTGAGGTCTGCTTCTTGCCAAATAAAATTAAGATCTTTTTCAACTTTCAGGGATTTAGAGACCACATCTAATTGGTTTCAAACCCCCGGAGGAACTCTGTAAGTAAGCAGGATTAGTTGCAGATATGAGCCCACTAAAGTGGGACACAGGTCAGGTCTTCAGACTCCAGCTCTGCTCTGTTGAAGCAGGCACTTAAGGTCTCCTGATGTTTCTGTGTCAGTAGCCACAAAAAACATTTTACTGCTGAGAAAATCATTGGAACAGCAATTTCCTGCAAGCCCCAAAGATTTAACTTCACACTTATTAAAACACTTATTTAAGAAAAGGTTGACATGTATTGTGTGGGTATTATGATTATGATGTGATGGCACAACTGGTAACTGGAAAACACATGTTTAAAAGGCATAGGCAACCATATTTCCAACTGTTGTCCTGTAGGGATAGCCGAGTGGTCCTTCAAGTGGTCCTTTCCATCTTGACTCCACATATGTACCATGTTGAATTGTTTACTACATCAGTTCTTGCCAGCAGGACAGGGTGAGAACTTTGTTCATGCTGACCTTGTCTTTCAGATCCCTCCCGGAAAATGCAAGGAAAATCAACACAATTTCGCAGGCTTTAGCAGCTCAAGTAACTGCCCTCGTAAGTGTAAGCAGGTAGGTCTTTGTCAGTATATTTGCTCTTCAGAGATAAAATAATCCAGCCAGCGGCATTAATTAAAAAAAACCCAACAAAACCTAAAATACTCTGGGGCTCATTAAAATTAAGAATAACAATACGATGGGATGACAGATACAACTTGCTGAGGTTCTGAAAATAGCAGGTAAAAATGTAAATATCTTTTAATAAATAATTTTCCGGCAATGTAAAAATAAATGATATTTCCTTTGGCAGTAATAGCTGATTTAATCTTTCACTGGGAAGTTGCTTTGCTCATAAAATATCATTGTGCTAGAGAAAAAAAAATATTATTTTGTTGTTTTGAAAGACTTTTGTAATCCACAATAAACTGGGTGACTCTACTTATGTCCGAGATAAGCGCCAAGAGTGATGCAAGCTCCCACCAGAACCAGACTCAGGATAGTCTTCAGAGAGATCCAGGAGAAATCGAACAAAGGCCTCATACTGTTGCCATACAACTCCACAAAGGCATCCTAGAAAGGAAAGCAATCAGAGAGGGAATGTCAGAACTGCAGTAACTTTTTCGGGGGGGTAGGTTGGGGGAAACAACTTGTTCACCCTCAATGGTCATCCAACAATCCCGCCGGCGCAAGAAACCCACACAAACCTATTAAAATAGTGATTTGGGAGCTCTTTTTTTTGTGCAGTGCTTAACAAAAAGTTCTCCTGCCTATTTCTTTACAAATATTGCTGTAATTGCTTACAGCCGTGACTTCTGCTTTAGGCATGCCCAGTCTAATAGAAAATACAGGAGCAAGTTACCACTATTTTGGGTCCTGAATGTTGTCTATACAAACATACTCAAAGGAAGTAACTGAACCTTCATTCTCCAAATCTTTCATTTCCACTGGACTTGGGGCACCTACAGTGCTGGTCGACTTCACTGAAAATAAGGCAGTACTTGTTTGGTTCCCTTGGGATGGTTCAGAAGACTTTGTGTAGTAGCCACAGATGTTTCTTCCATATGAACTGAAGCAATTAAAGTTGTGTTACACCTATGATGGTCTTTCACAACTGTCACCAAGGGTGATGCCATGGTCCTGTGCTCCAGGAAAATCTGGTGGCATGTAGGCACCAAATGGAAAGGCTGTTTAAGCAGAAAAAATAAAGTTTTTGTGACTCATAAATACAACGGGATTTGACTGGGCTAGTGATTGGACTGGTGATGTTCTGCACGTAATGCCTTTCTTTCAGGCTGCAATTCCTAACAAGCATGAAGCTTCAGAGCATTCCTGAGAGACAGACAAATCACACTGTATGGCACAAAAGCAGTAAATAACCGAGCTGAATGACTTTAAATATGTGACAAACCTGATAACATCATTTATGGCAACTCTTTTACTGTGCAGCCAGCTAAGGTCCACTCCCAAACTATTGAGATAAACCTGTGAAAGATGGGCTATCTAACATGGGCGTTTCTGTCTCTACTTTTATTACTCTGGACTTTCCCAATTTTGGTGGAAGTTAACATTCTCTAACAATGTTACAGCACGTTTAACTGTTTTGCAGTGTTACTATGCTAGGACATAACCTGCCTTCTAAAAATGCATATATGTTATGGTTTACAGCAGAAATTGATGAGAGAAGGGTCTCCATTATTAATCTAAACCTTCCATCCAAGTTAATTTTCTGCAAATTATGTAGTTAAATTAGCTTCCCCAATTAGCTATCTCTAGGTTATTGTCAGTGTTTGTGGTTTCACCACAAGAGGGCGTGTAAGGTTTTTTAATATTTTGACTCCTATTCACTAGACACTGAGCGAGATTCAAATAAATGGTAGATATTCACTTCCAAAATATGTTATTACATTAAGTAATACTGGTGCATGTTGTAGGTCAGAGTGGATGTAAATAGGTAAGATGTGGTAACAGAACAGCCATAGGCTTTGGCCAAAGGAGTGACATGACAGCACGTCTGCCTCTTGCTATTTCTCAATGCTTATTCCTCTAGGCAATGATTTTCCAATTTGGGTTTCCAAAGGTATATTCTTAAGTGAAAGCAGCTTAACCTTTTGCAGGGAGGATGGAATGTTTTAATGCAAGCTCTTCATTCCAGAGAGAAATTGGCAAGTTTTGCTTAGCTGCCTGTTTTTTGACATCGACATTCGCAAACTCTGGCCTTAATATTCTGCTGTGCTGTTGCAGAGCTGAAAAAGCACACTCAGTTTGCTGTGTAGTTCTTTGGAAAGCTGCTTTTATTTCTCCTTAAGGCTATGAAGTAACACAATATCCTAAAATGTTACAGACTGGGCTAAATCCTGTTGTCGCCAGTACAGACTCACTGACTTCCATGGGAGCCTTGTCTGTATAGGGAGTTCAAGATCGGGCCTTATAAAAATACAAGGGTAAAGTTCAACACTTGGTGATATTATTATGGGTGAAACAGGGAGGAAATGAAAAAAAAAAAACCACCAAAAAAACCCCGCATGGAAATGCAAGTCCTGTGAAAAGATTTTAACATGAAGGTTTTCATGCTCTCTGCCTGTGGGGAAGGTCTCACTTCTGTATATTCGTGACAGTCGATGCATACACAGTATCAATACTGAAATGAGTATAATTTGTGCCTCTCTTCAATTCCCTGTTTGGGAACGTTCCTCCCAGTTTTAATGTGTGACCATTTCCAGTGTTTCAGCAGAGCTCCTGGTATTGGTATGAAAATAGATGGTAACAGTAAAACTTGGACGCAAGGCAAAAGTATGGCATAACCTATGGCTCAAAAATGTGCAGCATGCAGTACTTTTTTGTCCGAGATTATTATAACAATAACACAAACCCAACCTAATGGTGTCTGCACTATATATTACAAGTAGCTCTTTATGATCGTTCCCCCTCCCCTTCTCAAACATCCTGATTAGGCCTATTTCCGAAGCTTGTTTGAACAGCCTGTCACTATTTGTTTAAGTTTCAAACCTGTTTTAAATAAACACATGTCCATTTTATGTACTAAAACAAGGGAGGTGGGGGGAGGGACATATGACCCGTTGCTGAAAACTATTTTAGCACAAAGAGGACCGTAAACAGAACCTTAACTTTCTCATAAGGTTTGTCTCCTGTAAACCCACATATCTGTCACTGGATTTCTGTCACCTAAACTGCTCTGTTTAAAATAAGAGAATCTCAGCTAAAATAAATAAGATTAGGAAAATTGTTTGAAACACTTGATGTCCTTTGAAAAGCACTCTTTTTAATGAAAGCAAGGGTCCCCTTGGCAAATAGACTGAGGCAAGTTCTGGCTTGGTCAACCTTTCTGGAAGTCTAACACGATTGGAAAGAAAATCATTGCAGGCCTTGCTTTTAAGACCTTCAAAATTTAATAGGAAGCTATATCCTGGATGTAAAATTATATCAGGGCAGTTAAAGATTATATGGAAAAGAACTCTTCATTCAGCTCTGTCAGTTTCTACGAAGTCATTTCTTAAGAAGCTTCTATTAAGTCAAATCAGTCTGTTGCTGGTTTACTATGCAACTTCACGCTGACCGTTTCTGTGAAGTGAGAAAGGTGGTGGTGGGGAAGGGAAAGATGCTCTTCCTAAGCTCCTCTTACGCACAAAAGCACCTGAGATGCCTGCTACAACCTACCAGGGCTTGATTGGCAGGCCAGGAAGATTGCCCCGAGAGCACCCCTTGCTGCCCTCTTGCCTGCTGGACTATACACAGGGAGGACAGAGCATATCCCTGGCCGAAGTTCCTGGCATTTGCAGGGAGCCCAGGACAGAAGTGGAGTTTGTCACCCCGGGAGGATTAGGAGGCGTAATAGTGCACTGAGTCAGGGCAGTCTCAAAACAAAGAGATCGCACTATCCCACTCTTCCGCTGGCCCAAATTCGGCAGTTCTGATCCAAGAAACAAATGTCATCTTTAATTACATGGGCATTCTTTGCTTGCGGAATGAGTCGAGTTTGTTCAGCCTCGGTCCTTTTACAGCTCAGCCTTCACTCTGGCCTGAGAGGCAAAGCACAGCTTCTCGGCCGCAGAGAAGGACATACTGCCCATAGGCTGAGCCCGGAGAAGCATTACGGATCCGACGGCTCCTTACTGTAAATGCAGAGGGAGAAGGCAGTTTCTGCCCGGCATTTCTGACCGAGGGGGCGGTGGGGAGAGCAAACATGAGGAAGTAAAGGCTTCCTTTTTCTACCTGAATCAAACAGCTGGTGAGGAAGTGACTTTATTTCCCTCGTTATCATTGGGCTGGCAGGATATCCTCTTGAGCCACATTGTATTGAATGAAGAGCCTGTGAGACTTCCATTTTACTGAACGGGAATTGCCTTGTGGCTATTTTACGCTGCCCTCTCTGTGACTCCAAAACAAACAAACAAAAACACATTAGCTCTGGCTTTTGAAGAAACTTGCACAGGTCTGAACAAGGCAGCTTTGCCACACACTATGGGGCAGGAGAGGGAATGGCATATGCTTTGATGCCAAGGTTTAGCAGCTAGATGACTTTTCCCTCACCCCTGCCTCCAAACGAATGACATAAATTCTCATAAAAGCTTTCATTCCCGCATGGCAACTCATTTCAGAAAGAGTTTGGGGAGGGAGGGGGTGGACAAAGCTGGTTAAATCGTCCCATGTTTTCTATGCAGTGAAACCTCATTAAAATGTCATCTTGAAGCTAACGAGAAAAGTTCTTGGAACACAAATAATAGACAAATGTGTAGCTGTTCTTTTCCTGAAGAGTTTATGGGTCTTTTACGCAAGCCTATGTGGTGAGTACATGCAAATAAGGACAGCTCAGACTTCGGCTGTGTTGTGCCAAGGTGTGGCGTTTCACAAGGTCAGTATCTTTAGAGATGCTGATATCTTTTTACACCTGGGAGTGCCAACATGCTGGTAGTCCTGCCAGGTGCACATTATCAAATTATAATGGGAAGGAAAAGAAGGTATCACCACACGAGCCCTGCTGATCACGGAAAAAGAACCTGCCAGGGGAGTGGCTTTGGCACTTGAACCCCTGAACAAATTCCCATCTGGGTTTTTTTCTTTTCCCCCTTCACCTTTGCCTGTGGTAGAAACGGGTCTATTTTGGGGACATGGTTTAGTGATAAATATGGCGGTGCCAAGTTAGTGGTTGGACTCGATGATGTTAGAGGTCTTTTCCAATCTTCTATGATTTCATGATTCTATTTTGAATCCTCTGTTTCCACAATGGCTGACATACTCTTAGGTCTGCAGCTGATGTGTTAATTGCTGGCTGCATACCCTTTTGTTTCTCCAGTGGTCCCTGAGGTTTCTGACTTTGGACAAAACTGTTTTTCATCACTGTAGTCTTACCTAACTTCTTTGTTCCTTGTCCTTGCTATCTATTTGTATAAATTCTTGCATCGGTGAGCCTGTGATCTTGGGGATGTGTCTTCCAGGTCCTAGTCTTGCCAGGCTGTAAAGTTGTGTAAACTGAAATCAGTGGAAATATTATTTGCATAAGACTGGCTAAACGTGGCACTCAGATAGAAACATCTAAGTAGCAAGGTGGTTGT